TTTTTATAGACGGTCGCCGGACCACGCCGAGGAAAGTATATAAATACAATCGATTTATCTCGCTTTATAGAATGACGACAATGAAATTATTACGCATTACTCGTTTCGCTCATCGAATCGAGAGATAATTGCGTGTCCCGAGACGTGAACAAGTATAACGGCTTACTACCTATAATAAAATGTACGCTGCAGCGCGTCACGATCACTATCGCCAGGCAGATGATTAATTTTTCCCGGAAATCCGACATCATCTTTCTGCGTCCATAGCCGACACTGTATTATATTATTATTGTATACGATAAAAGCGCATTTAAATACATTTATAATCTCAGTGGTTTGATATATTTTGTAAAGCGATCTATCATATTTTCACGGTTTTTGAAAATCCGAGTAATATCGACTGCACGATTGCGACCAAGACTGCAAAATGTATCGGTCTGCAGGTACTCTTGCAGTTTTGCACACAAACATACTTATTATTATCAGTGGCAGCTAATAATATGTGTCGCTGTGGATAATTCTAAGAACTCACTATATGAATAGCTATATATAATATACCACTATAGCCACTGGGTACCAGAAAATCAATATTTAGTCAAAGGGTCAATTAGTCAAATTTTTTTTTTAATTTTGGATAGTGTCAAATTTTAATTTGTCGAATACTTAAAACAAAATTTGAATTTCTATATTTCCATGGTATTTCCTTGTAGTTGGTATTCTGGGAGTCAAATTTCAAAATTGTCCAGTACTTCGGGAAAACTTGAGTCTGGAATTTCTACGCAAACTAGTTTTTGACCAAATAAGGTTTTTTTTTAAACTAAATAATGAACATCAAACTGCAGAAACCTCGGATTTTTCGCCGAACATTCATTGATGCAATTTCTCGGCATGAAATAATTTTCAAAATATTTCGAGTCTTCTAATATTATTATGCTACTATGTCTTATAAGAATTGACATTTTTGACTTGTTATTATTTTTTCGATTTACGTTAAATGATAAATTATTCATTATACAACGAATCATTTGGTGCAACATGTTTATTGAAATGATGCTTGACAATGTAATGAGTCGTTGTTTGATAAACGATGAATAATCACCCAACATCCAATCACCCACTCACCTACCAAAATATAGGTAATATAGGTACTATACAGTATATGTGTTGCTGAATCAACAAATGGACATGGGATAGCCGACACAAGTGTTTAATAATTTGCGCTACACTTCTACAACTGTCTACTAGAATGTGTGGTTTTACATGTTCGTGAGCCGTCTGTTTTCGTTTTTAACTCCATCTCTGTCATGACGACAATAATAATAACGTTATGTCGTGTGTTGTAAAACGGCGTGCGCGCACGCGTATATTTTGTCCTACTTGATCGAAATTATGAATATATTATGAAATATACTGTAGCGCGTTTCAATCACTATATTATGGCTCGTTGAATAATTAATTTCAATTTATCGTTCGGATCGATAGCGGCGGGCCGGCGGCCGACTCTTTTCAAGCTTACACAAATAAAAGCAAGCGCCACGAATACACCACTGGCCGAAGATAATTATTGCACATGAAAAAACTCCGAGCAATTATACGCGTGCGTCGTCGTCGTCGTAAAAATAAATAATTGTACGAAAATACATATTATAATGGTCTTTGGAATAATACCCGCCTAATGACTTCCATGTATATTTTGTACTTGTATAGTGTACTATTACTACTAGAACCATTCAACTGAGTGTTATTGTTAGAACTTTATATTGTTTGGGAAATCGGAGGCCGCACGGCTATGGGACTATTAAGTATAGGTACGATTCAAATCTAAGTGCATACGGTCATTATTATTGTTTTGTAAAAAAACATCATTTTAGTTTTTTCACATTTAAATATATTTTATTTGAATTTCAAGGTGAATTATTTACACCCCTAATTTGATCACATTTATCGCCCTTTATTGATTTGGCGATTGATAACCGCTGGGTACCCGATAAACGATAATATATGTTATTATTATAATTATATATTCTATTATAGTATTTTATCTGATTTATGGTCTCAATAATTGTCTGTAGACTGATATTTTAAAATACCACGATCAGCCGGAATTGCCTATCGTAATTCTATTTCGACCAATAGATATCAATCGCTGGCACGCTGGCACCGAACATTTATAATTTATAAATTGTAATCAATAATAACATGACAATGATTTAAATACTATAATATACTAGTTAGACGTTGTATAGACTGTAATATAAGCGTATTATTTAACTGTGTTGTTATGTATAGGAACAATCCAGGCAATTAGTTAATTATATTACATTATTTTATAACATTAAAATATATATTATTTATTTTATTACCTATGTGATATATTTATATTCACTGATCCTCACCAAACACCGGGTTTTGTAAAGCAATCGAAAAGTATACTTTGAAAATAATAACACACAGTTGAAAGAGGCATCCGGCAACATCTAGGCAAGTCTCCATGTTTCCGAAAGTGACAGTGAGAATAAATGGAATAGTGAATTTTGGAAAGGTCGTCTTGAAAAAATATGAACTTATCTAGTTGTTGTAGGGAGCCGTTCAATTAATTGTGCATTATGCCGTATAGAAGTGTGCAGTAGTCAGTAGTCTCCGTCTTATTCATATAATGTACAATATAGCAATTCTCAGCAGGACCAATTTTGTGTTAGCTTTAACAATATTAGAATGAATTGACTAACTATCAATTTATAAAATGAAGACATTATCTGTGCCTGAGCGTCGGTTTACGATATATTTATTTTTAAGCGAGTTATGAGTATTTTAAATTGTAATATTTTATTCAGGTAACCTACTCGTATTACAGATATGGTACTTATCTTTGAGTTTGACATCAGAGAAATTCAAACCATTAACTAGCTAACAACACAGAATAGCAGGCTCTGCTGAATGCAAATTTGATAAAATGTCGTACCTACCATTGCCTATTGAGTATTTTAGTATAAATTGTACAATATATATTGTACTCAATGGTTGTACGTTTGTAAGACGGAGACAATACATTTGGATAAGAAGCGTTCTCGGAGAAATAAAATATGTTAACGTCTTCAAACCCATCTCTCGAGATTGACGATACTAAAAGTTAGATGGTAATTAATTATTGTATTATAAATTAAAATAGATAAAACACCATTTTGGCGTTATGGCATTATGGCACCATTATAATAATGGTTATATTATTGTTTATTATTATCTTAGCATCGTATAAATTATAATTATTCATAAGTAGTAATAATAATGTTATGTAGATATATAACACGCATGTGTCATCATTCCGACAAGCACTCGAGTCTTATGTCGACGGAAACGAACAATTTACTTGTCTTAAAAGGGACCACAATGATCAAACTCTACAATAAAATAGATTATTGTTTATCGTTATTTACACCTATAACAATATAATATTATGCTATTGCAACATGTGATTCGTGCATTGAATAAGATTATCTTATATTGCAAATTGTAGTCCCACATTATTATTTGAGTCACCCGCTATAATTGATTAATATGAGTAATTTTCTTGCGAGTATGAACTATACTATAATACGCTTTATTGTTTATATAATTATACACTTAATTTAGCCACTTGAGACTGCTACAGTACTTGTTCCCACGACTTTTCTAAACTTGTACCGTTTATTGTATGCCGTCCAGAAACGAGTAACGGCCAATATTGAGGTACAGACGCAAAAACTGTGACAATACGTATAATATAGCAATGTGCTTAGCCTATTTTCGATGGTTATTGGCCGAAGTATTGCAACGTTGTGTTCGATAAGAATGAGTATTAGTCATTAGTAAATTAAGTGAATAACCAAATATGTTACGTATTTAGAACTTTTTCCGATATCGGAATAATTATTAAATAAATAAATGGTAGGTATATTAATATTGTAACATGTTAGAACATAGAATAGCATTTAGCGAGGTCTCGAGAAACAGGAACATAATATTTTAATTACTACACTTAACTTCACATATGATAATTCTACAAAATATTACGACTGGCAGCGAAACCACCATATAGAATATTTAAGATTTTTATATCCGGAACAATTCAAATTGGTTATACCGCATCAAAAAATAAATATACATTAAACAGACGTATAACTCAGGGTGTAGTGTGGGTGTGTTACGGTATCAACGTGTGCCTATTCCTGTTGTATACCAGCTGTTCAAAAAATTTGGAAACGGTTTAATTACTGTTTGCGTATTTTTATACCTACATATTATTATATCAATAACAGATAACACTGCTGCACATTTATTAGGTAAAATTTATTTTAATCACCTCATTAATTAGGTATTCGTTTTTCATATTATCGATTATCAGTCTTATAATATTATTAGTGGCGATAGAAAGTGATCAACTGTAACGGAGACGCTGTATATGCATATGATATTTTTCCGCGAGCCCTATTACAAACCACTCCTCACTGGCCTAAAAATTGATAAGATTTCTATTGCCTATAGTCTAATGACCTTTTCTCAACTTGATAAATACTGTTTATAAATATAACATGTGTACTTTCATGAAGCAAAATCGAACATCGAATTTGTGGTGCATCGCACAGATGGATTTTGTGTTTATGAATATTAAAAAATATAATTATTTTGTCATTTTTGACGTCCTCGCGTAAGAAACGGTAATCAAAGCATTGGTCTGCCCAGATTGGTTTTTGTTGAGTGCAGTCAGTGCAATACCGCATTTTTGCACCTTAATATAGATAGCCGGGCTTGATGAAATATTCCAAATATTTCCGATCGAATATGATTCAGATCTACTATCGTAATTTTTCAACATTCATAATAATAATCTAAATTATGAACACTGTAAAATACTATAATAAAATATATTTTATAATAGTTAGGTGATATTTTTGTCGGAAGCGTATTATATATACACCCCCGTGAGATATGGTAAATTGATAACACTGTTGTTTATTTTTCAGCTTTCTGGTCTAGCACTGCTGGCTTTGGGTCTGTTTACCCGGTATTATTCGACTAAAACTGAAGAGCTGGCCAACAAAGCATCAGGAGATGCGGCTGGTCTGGCGGCTCTGGCATTCATCGTCATTGGTGGAGCCGTGTTCGTTGTGTCATTCTTCGGCTGTTGCGGAGCTATCCGGGAGAGCCATTGCATGATTACAATGGTATGACATAATAAAATATATTATACACACACACACACACACACACACACACACACACACACACACAATTAAGTATAATGTCATACGACATACTTTAAAGTTTAAACTGTATAAAAACCCATTTTTTTTTTCGAAAACAAAAATGTACTTATGACCATTGCTTGAGAAATCGGAGTTCCTCTTATTTTTTAAAAATATTTTAGCGTACTAAACCTTTCTGACTAGATCTTAACCAGTAAGACATCTGTGTGTCAGTGTAGTCATTTTCTATTGAATAATGGTAGGTATGACCTAAGCATTCGGATGGGAAATTATCTTATGTTTTTGTTAGGAAAGTGTTGGTCCTCTGTTAAATTCCTTCTATTTCTGACGTTCGTTCAGTCGATTGTCCCGATTTTCTTATCATATAGGTTATAAGCTATATTAGTAGTTAGGTATAACTAAATAATATAATATTCTTACGAATGATCATGTACAATTCGTATGCATGGTTGATTTTATTCGGAATAAATTTAAATTGTTAATCATGCGTACGGACACAAAATTACAAGTTGTACTCATAGGTAAACGATATTTTGTTTTTGTTTTATACGCCAAGTCGTGGAATATTTGCCGCGTATGCGTAATCCATAAAATTACGATGAACGGACAGTCAACTAAAAAAGTGTTTATTAAATTGAATATTGAAATAAAATGCATAGCCATTATTTGGCCTTATGATGCGTTAACTTAAATTTGTCCCCACAGTTGCTTTGTTATATCCACCATTCACCAATCCCCATATGTTCCCAGGAATTACCCATCCCTAATTGCGGAAAATAAGCATAATTTAAAGAATCATTATTTTCATTAAATCTATAAGATCCACGCTGGCCTCACTCCAGGTGCAGATATTTTTATCGCACATTTATCCCAGCATTACTAATTATTTGTATTATCATTTATCGGGGATTAAAACATGGACGCTGAATGTACCCATATACTTGTTAATTGATAATACTAACTGTAAACTGCATGATTTGATCATGAACCTATCATATTATATACTTCCTTTATATTCTGTTCAATAGTTGTGGTTTAAAACTGTTTGGTATTTAGACAACTGTATTAGTAATATACCGTCAAATGTTCAGCGGCCCCCGGCTCTAGCAGCGTTTGTATTGCTTAGCATGTAACAGCTACTATACTATATGTCTATATATAGCAGTGGTGTGCAACCTTTTTTGATCCACGACCCCCAAAGTTATTTATTTTGGTAATATGACCCCCATTCTTACCAACATTATGTAAGTGTATAATATATATTAACTTCATAATATTAATGTATGCAAACGTATTATTCATATAAATTAAAACGTTAATTTTAATATTTCTTTAATTTAATTAATCTAAAACATGAAAAAAAGTTCAAAATTAGAATTATATAAAATCTAAAATTAAAAATCTGCTAAAATTATTATAATGATAAACAACATTTCAATATTTTTTCAATTGTAAACTTACTAAGAAATTATTTTAATGAGAAATCTGAGCTTGCATTGTAGACATGATTGATTCTATGTTTGGTTTGATATTTGACACTACCTACTACTACTCTTAAATCAACTTCAACATTTAATCTGGAGCGACATTTGTTTTTAATTATCGCAATTGACCCACACTTTGACCAGGAAATAGTAATATAGTAATATATAACTTTTTTATTTGGTGTAAAATTATTGGCAAAACTCTAATAAAATTTCGCGACCCCCAGGTTGAGCACCACTGCTTTATAGTTATATAGTTAAGTTTATTTATTTTCTATGATTCTGTAACCGCAGCACATCATTACAACTGGCCAGTTCACCCTTACTACACACATATTGTTAAAACCAGCATATGCATATTATATCAATGAAATACTCGCACTGTAATGATACTTATACGACATCGTTTCAGTACGCAATGTTCCTGTTAGCGTTCTTCCTGTTGGAGGCGGCCACTGGAGTTTTCTTGTACGTAAACAGAGGACAAGTGGAATCGATCACTCGAAAATCGTTGACCACAGTTTTTGAAGATTACTCGAATAAGTCGGAATCACACGCTCTTGTCGACGAAATACAACACGACGTAAGTAGAAATTATACGAATTTATTAATGTTTTTGATTTTTAACATTACTGTTAATATTAATAACAGACCCCTCAGATTAGTACGATTCTGCCTAGTTGTAGTTTCCAAATTGAGCTCAACATTTCGACTATCTATGTAAAATGTATATTGTATATGCACCGATAGACGACAAATAATAAATATATTATACGTATCTTATAACAAAGAATCAGTGACAATTATGACCAATTATTACCTATGATGGTAACATGCATTATTATATTAGTTCTACCTTATAGCTTATTAGTAATAACATATTAATGATTTAAGATTGTATTAAATTAGTTTTTTTAATTAGATTGAAATGTATATGGTTGACGAAATCCAGTATATTTTTAGTGGATGTGAAGTATACGAACCAATGTGTTGTGTTTTGTTTACTACAATGTAGGTATTTGGTATATGCTAGAAGATTGTGATGTTCATTTGTTTTTTAACCCAACGAAAGGAAGAGGATGCGAAATCTTGCGCTTAACGTAATACTGTGATAGTTAGATTTTTGAATATTCAGCGTATCCATATACATTTATCAGAGTTGTCCTTATCATAATGTGTTTTTAGACTATAAGAGTCTTATGTAAGAGTATTATTATGTTTTCGCAAACATAAATAATATATTAAGTATACGGCTTGTTTTACAAATTCGTATCGTAATGATATAATACACTGCGTTCGAAATAATTTTAATTAGGTATACGTTTAATAGGTAATTACAATAATAATTAAAATTTCTAATAATCCATTTGTTTTATGTATTTTTAGTTCCGCTGTTGTGGTGTGGACGGACCGAACTATTGGACCGAACGCAACGCTGCCGCTCTACCTCACACCTGTTGCCGAGATGATGGTGGCCAAGGGACGACGTGCTCGAAGGCCCAGGCGTGGCAGGACGGCTGTTTGCAAAAGTCTATTGACTTGGTTAAGGACAAGTCAGGCATGTTGTTCAAGATCATCATGGGAATCGCTGGTGGAGAGGTAAGCCCATCATGACTATTAATTACAATATTATACTCTAACTATATTAGGCTTGTGTTTTTATACTGAAAAACTAGGTAGTTAAGAACCATGTAAGTTTGATAAAAAAAAAATGTACACAATATCATTGATCCATAACAAATGCTGTTAGTCAACATATAATCCATTAGACACTCGTGATTCATTAGGTAGTAATACTATAATATATTATAACTTTCTCACTCGTATAATTCACATTATATGTATATTATATAATTGAGGATTAAAACATACCACATGTGAAGGAAAAAAATAACCCACGAATTATACCGATGGTTTGAAGTGGATATCAACGCCAAAACTAATTTTTAATTTCCATTGGGCTTATATAAAGTAAAAATTATATACCATTCCTCGTTGGCCATTTTCTTTTGGCATTTTCAAATATTAAAAAATAATGTAATATTAGAATATTTTTGAAATTATAAAATATGAATTCATAATTATACTATAAATTATGTTATCTTGGAACATTAAATATTTTAATATATATATTAGGCACCTATATGGGTCTCACTGCCTGATCAACAGCTGGTGTTGAGAATGTTAATTTGTAATGAAAATTCTTAAATAGTAAAAATCAAAGTATTTCTAGTTTTAAATCGCTCTTCTATTTTAATATTTTTTTTATTGTTAAGAAAACTGAAAGTTGTAATACAAAATAATTGTAATATTACAAATACAGGTACGTACTTTGTTCACATTTAGATTCGTTAACTTAAGTATTTAAAAAGCAATACAAATATTATAGCATTTAAAAGTAACAGATATATATCTGCAGTGCTTAGGGTTTTTAAAATGTTGACTTAAAACTTATACAGACGACGATCGATTTCTCGTATAAATTTTAGTGTTTTATAGCCATGTCAACAATATTATAGAATCTATAGTATAGATATAAGGCCATACATCAATAGCACTGTCTAGAACAAAACCTATCTCTTATCAGTTTATCCTATTAAATAACAGGTATTTCAAATTAGTAATCACTATTTAGTAAATACGGTTAGTTATAAGTATACACACGAAATACTCGTTTTAAGTACAATATATTTGTACATAATAATTTGTAATATTAGGTAACGGTTTGCGGATTATATTGTGTGTTGACTGTTGCCGTATTATGATAACGTGATAGGTGATAACATTGTCAACATTTGTTTTAACAATTATTCATATCTTTTGTCTTTTTGATTCTTAATTTTAGTCTTTAGAGCGAAACAATTAATGTGCAATAATAATCGGCCATTGTAAAATATCATGTTTTCGCAGGAAAAGTTTATGGCGCGGATTAGATATTTTATGTTATTATCAGGTCTTCATTGACTTCATTATCCATAAGTAATAATAGCTAAATAATATATTTAAGAATTATTATTTATGAGTATTATTATCCTTAGTATAAACATTTTAAAAACTCAGAAGCTACTCGTTGGAATTTGGAATTCGATACATTCTCAAAAAAATTACTCACTAAATCAGGGATTCTCAAACTATGGTACGCTTACCCCTTGGGGGTACTTGAAATGTTATAAGGGGTACGAGTCTGGCCAACATACCAACAAGGAAAAAATTCTTTAAAAGTCTTTACATTTTTGTATATATTTTTTAGTTTAGTAACTAAGAAGGGGGTACTCAAAACAATGTATTGATAAAAAGGGGTACAGTGTTTATAAGAGTTTGAGAATCCCTGCACGGCTGCACTAAATAATTTTAATTAAAAATGGGTAGTTATCATTTGAAAAATTATAGTTTGAACCTCGACAGGACAAGAATAAAAGATATATAAATTTGAAAATATGGTCTTTTGAAAAAATCTTAAAAATCGTAATTTTGATAAATTCACTATTAAAGAGGAAAATGGGGGTTAGGTTTGGGTGGGCATGATTAAGAAATTACCTTACTCGACTGAAGTCCCAAATTCCTAAAAACAGTAAAATAACCAAAAACTGTTTAAAATGTTTATCTTAATTTAACGCGTCATTTTTTTTTTTCAGCTGATCGGCATCGTTTTCGCGTTATGCCTGGCGAGTAGCATACGGAACGAAGAACGTCGACAAGGATACGCTTAACTTGATATTTCAGAGACACGATATACATAATTATATAAAATAGTATAACTTTTCGTCTCACGTTCTATCGAGGAAAACTTATTCCTTTTCTTAATATATTTATAATAATAATAATATATTATATCCCTGTTTGTTGTCCCTATTCGAAACCAACCAACGAAACCAAAATTAACTTCTAAATTTTTTAATTTTTCGTGTCACATTAATACATTATACACAAACACTCATACACACATACTCATACAAACATACGCAAACAAACGCACGCTGCCATTCGCACAGCGACGCGACAATATTTTATTTGTAAAATATTATTTTTCGTGATTTATTAATGTAATAAATTATTGTTTGAAGATCATATTAATATATTAAATGTACACGTATTATAATAATGTAAGAAAAAAGGAATAATTATTATAATGTATAAAACACTTTTTTTTTTAATTTTAGGGTATTAAATGTAAAAAAATGGAAATCTGTTTTTATTTTAATTTTATAATTTATATTTTTATTATAACTTTTATTAAATTATTCCGTGTATTCAAGTAGAATATTTTTGTTTTTTTTTTTTGATTTCTTGAATATAATTCTATATATTATTATACTAACTGTGATATTAATTTATATGATGATACCCATTACCTACCCTGTAAAATCCCAATTAAATTTTCATGTATCGTTCATTTTCGTCAACAGTCATTGTTTACAATTAATATTTTTCATCGGGTACGTACTCGCGGCCTGATATGTTTTTCGCAACACACGTCATAACAACTGATATCAACTGATACAACTGATATGTTATAATATTATGTAGGATAACAAGAATGCCGAATCTGTGGTACGCCCATCCAACATGGTACTCGATAAATTATAATACTTATTATTATATTATATTTTATTTTTAATAATGAATAACAAAACCACAATTATTATTTTCTTACCTATAAACATATTATATATTCTACAGTAATTTTCATAATTTAATGGCAAGCAAGAAAAAAATAATCGGATTATTTTTGGTACATAACCATCATAGGCGCAATAATGGGCATTTTTCTGAGGGGGCTAAAATTGTATTAGCAGCATGGACCCAAAGGAGTTTTTTCATCACATCCCCATAAATAATATGTCTACTGGCTACTTTGACAATACAAAACATAAAAATAGTACACAAGTACCTAAATCCATTAAACTAGTGAAATTAATAATTTAAATCGAAATTGTAAATCATTAAATAATTAATTTAAAAAAAATTAGCTATATCTTTTCATTGCTCAAAATAGGTAAGTAACTAAACCTCTCTTGTCCCATACTACTTCTTAACTAATTTTTAATTTGCCTCATTGCCGAAAAAGAGCTTTAACATTTAGCTGAAATGATTGCCTATTGGTATTGTTACTGCAATTTGTAACATTTTATGCAATTCCGATTATACATATATTTTTCAACAACATTTTTTATTCTACAAACATCATGTTTTATTCATTTTAAACAATTTTATGCAACTGTTATTTTAGATCACGAAACTTAAGGATAAATTGCTATCCCTGTAATGTAAATATGTAATAGTGAGCTTACTAGCTATAGTGCCTATCGCCCGACGTCCATATTGGGTGTTTGGGTATCATAGTACTATTATAATAATTTACCTTGTTAAAATATATGAGATTTGTTTTTTGGCAAAAGTTAGTGCAGCCTACCGTACCTATTACTAATAGAAAAATAAATTAAAAATTGTGTATGCATCGATTATATTATAATACATTTATTACAGTCACCTGCTCAATGACGAGGTACACTCGACACATGACACCATTACAGGCTACTATTATACTAATATATAATAGAGGGAATTTCTCGATTCTCTCCTTAAAGGCAGTTACTTAACCATATGGCACACATTTTATTTTATTTTGGTTTTTCATCAGGTATTGTGATGGAAAAACCATTTTCTATACTGAAAACATTTTGGATTCTATAACTCACTATAATACTTCGATAATTATTTTTAAAAAAAGTACTGTTTTGACTAATAACTTATGATCATTGAAATATTTAATAAATATCTATATTTTGACATTAATATATTAAAAATATTTTAAACAAAATTCTGAGGAGGTATATGGTGACTGGTGAGGGATCGCCAAGGAGGCACCAAAACCTCCTAGTTTATATTACAATCTTACCGTAAAATGGTATAAAAGAGTTAGTTTCTATAAGACAAAATTCTTAAAAATATATCTTGCTTCAAAATATGAAATTCAAAAAGGGTTCAAAAAAGTAATTATAGTAATAATATAATTAGTACTAATACTTTTTAAAAACAATTACGACAAAAATAAAGTTTATTTTTCAATAACGATTGTAATAAATTACGTATATGAAAAAACATATTTAGATTATACTTTTTGGGAAACTGGCTACTGAAACGTCGAGAAATCGCCTTTGCAGGTGTTTACTTATAAAATAATTACGATTCGGAATTCACCCAATACATATACTATGTAGGTATGAAAACATAAAACAAGCATGCAAAGCAGTAATAATATTTATTTTATTTCCATCAACTTACTTAATATAGTTTTGTAAGTTTTTAGAAATTTGATCTCATTGTTAAAATGTAGTACTCAAAACTATAAAATGATTAGTTCAAACACTTTTCTTTGCTTCAGTCGTCCTTCTAATCCAATCACTGCTGCGAGTAGGCCCTTTTTCATTAAGTTCCATTATGACAACCGTCGTAAAATGACGTATTATGCGTAGTATACAATGATTTACTAGTGTGTAAATTGAAACATCAGTGTGGATTAAATAATTTACCAGAAGCCCGAAGGACTTCCAACTACTCTGCGAGTCCAGAAAATCTCCTAGACTGGACGGCGCTGCGGGCCTCCGCCGAACCAACAAAACAAATATTACAAAATATATGTATAATATTGTGTAACACATCTTTGTCCACAAATGTTATACCGGAATTAATTCGGGCTTCCACTTTCCACTCATGCATTTATACACACTGCACGTGCGACTGGACAAAGTGCATATCAGGTGTTAGTAGAGAGCCAGTGTGTTACATGTAGATCCACGCATATGTGAGACCCACAAAAAATATGCGCAGGGCGTCCGGTAAAGAGCAAATTTTAACCAAATATTTTAAATTGAAAATCATTCGATGATGTATTTATATTTCATTTGTTTAACGTTTGGTCATCTCTTTATCGGGCGTCTTGTACAATATATTATGTAAAAAAGTGGAAGTCCCGGCAAACCTCCGATCCAGCACTACAGCCGAAGGGAGTTTCTCACCAGAGGATTCTGGATCATCACACTGACTGATTGTACTATGTGTCTATGTCTTGTCTTTCAATCCATTTTGAAGATGCACATTTGACCGTTAGTGAAATCCTGAACAAAATGTATTCTTTTCCAAATGTATAATAATATAATATTCCTTAGCTAAGCGATGGGCCACGAATATAAGGTATAATACCGTAGTATAATACGGTATCAGTTATCTTAGGTTTGGATACACTGAACTGTAAACCCGAAGCTAAGAGACAACTGGGAAAGCCGACGAAAAGGTTGATAAACGAACTTGACCAGAATTTCGATATACTTAGGATTGATAATAACTAGAAGAAATTTGAAAATTATAGAGAAGACTGTATGATGCTGCATGGAGCATTGATGGACTTTAATGACCAATAAAAGCTGAAGAAGAAGAAGTTAGGTTAGGTACTTGAATGAATCTACTATTTCCAATAGTTATACATACCTTAACCTGTCAACATTTGTTTTGGTAGATATCAAATATTTATTTAGTTCAACATTTGAACATTACATGCTTAACAAAGACAATCTTGTATATGTATCGCACTAAATTAAATGTTTTATTCTTCATGATCTATTTTTTATAAATTTTTTCTTAACATCCAGTAATATATCATATTAGGATATATTAGGTATGAATAATAATGTAGCCTAATACATTTCAAAAATAATTATTATGTATAGCATTTTCATCGTGCAAGTTGTTTGATTGGTGATTACTGATTGAGTTATTACGTATTAGTTATTACCGATCCAGCTACGTTTGAAAGTGTTGGTCAAGCCCAATCTGGTCTACTGTATAATGTCAAACCACTCTAACCTGAAGTTGTATAAGACTGCTAATTACATTTAAAAACAATCACCTATACCAAAATGGACTATTGTAAACAATACATGTCATTGCAACAATCAGGTACCTTCGTCAAATTTTCGAAATTGTTCAGCAGAAGAAAAAAAACATTTAATTCATTATCCTTTGTGATAACTTATACTTTTTTAGTGAAAACAATGTACAAGTTTCGTCTTTATTTATGGATATTATGTTGTATTTACTTTGTTACTAACCCAAAGACAGTTATAAACACTAAATGGAATACAAGTATTTACTTGCATTATTTCTTGCTCATGATTTTTTTTTTTTAGGGTATTGTACTGGAGAACGTTATTAATTGTCTTTATATCTTAATATTATTTCTTGCTCATAAATTATTAAGTGTATTAAATAAAAACATTATACTCTTATCACAATTATCATTTAATTAATTAAATAATATTACTTATTGTGGTCATAAGATAATGATAAATCAATAAATTGTTAATATTTTATCATCAATTAATATGTAGTTCAATCAACATAATCGCAGTTCCGGTGCATCAACTAAGTACATGCGAAGACTAACATACCATAGATTGTTGCAATGAAACGTAAAACCAGGTAAATCCATTTTTCTGATATTACTGTATCTAATAAACGAGCATACACGTTTGTTGCACTGAAACGTTTTTCCAAATGTAATTGTTAATTGAATGTGTTAATTTGTGAAAATCATTAATAATTTAAAATATGTTTGCATCGTTGGAAATTGAAATAGTGTCAACCAACTAGTTATAAATTATATGAATAAAATGGGCCTACCCCTCATTAGTTATTTTATCTCACTTAGAAGTGTGTATCTTGTGGACAGTTGTGACTTGATGGGTACACCATACACCGGACCTACATAACTATAAAAATAGAAAATCTTTTGAAATACGATAAGACACTTTATCATTTGGTCACGAGAGATCTATTGTATGGGACTTTATCCAACTTAAGAAGTAGCCATATTTAGGATAACGAATGAAGTTAATTTATTTAGAAGTAGGTTGGGATTTACATTATGAATAATCAAAGATTTTTGAAAGTCATAGAATTTAATAAGAAACGATATTTTAGGCCTTTAGACATGTAAGACTGATTTAGACTGATAGAGTCAAGAATTAATGGAAATAGAAAGGATTTTCTTCTATTCTAAATTCTAATTATCAGTATTTAACGCCCAATGACTTATTATTATTGTGTTTCGTCTAAACATTTTTGGTGAAATTATAAAATGTCAAACATAATAATTTATAAAATTTCTTTTTGGACAATATAATATTATGATACATGTAAGTATAATACAATTATAATAATACTGCAAAAACGGGAAAGTAAAATCTGAAAATCCCGTTTAAAAACAAACAGCAAATTTGGTATCAAGTTTCATGTTTCAACCATTATATCATATAATCCATTATGTTATTTTAGACGTATAATTTTTTGATCGGAAAACCATTTGCCCCTCGAGTGTCTCTAAAACAGCACGTAGAAAATTGAAATCATCGCGAGGTCATGAGCTGTTTCCGATAGAGTATAGTATTATACATGAAATTCTTCTTTATATTGACAATGACTGTGTTTTAATATTACAACCTAGTACCTATGACGAATGTTTGACATATACTTAATGACTAATGAAAATTATTGCAAAACAAAAACCGTAAGACTCATAATTGGACAAATAAGTGTAATCTATAAATGTTGCAATTGAACAGACAAAATAAACAATAATGTATTTTTATATATATAATGTATAATATGTATTTATATTACACACACACTGCAAATATCATCGATACGACAATAATAGTTATACAATAATATAATATTAATAATAATAATATTTTATGCACGTTTATAATTGTTTATTATTAGACAAAATAATAATAATAATATGTAATAATAATAAGAAGAAAACACGCGGTTTTTTTCACGAGGTACAAGCGGCGCCGTCAAACGAAACAATAACTACAATAAGACGTATAATATTAATTAAAATATAATAAAATATAATACAATAATATAATAATAATTAATAATAATATATGAGTGTAACATACACATAATATAATATTTAACACAATGAAATTATAATAATAATACTAAAAACCTCGGCGCCTCCGACGACTATACAAGATATTATACTGTATTAGGCACATGATCGTACAGATTATTTACTTTAGTTTTATAATAATCAGTGGCGCGATTTCAATGAAAAAACTGGGGAATCCAAAATTAAAAGGGCGCTAATTAAACATACAAAAGTTGCCCCCAAAAAACTGGGGGTTCTAATGAACCACAAGCCACCCCTCCATAAGAATCGCGCCCATGACGATAATCTTGTGTGAATTATTACGTGTACGTTTTACAACACTTTTATATGCGTAGACGCGCAGTGAGTACATTCCATCACCTACCTACCCTACTTTTTCGTATAAATTTATTTAAAAAAACGTTTTTAGTCCAACGGCGTCGGCGACTGCGTCGGTTTCGTACCAATAAATGTTGTCCAACACGGAAAACGTACATAATATACCTAATATCATCACATCATAGTCCATAATAATAATATAGTATATTGGGGGCGGATATAATATAATAATATATATTAATTTCAAAAATAAAGGCGAAACGCAGAGGAGTCGTCGGAAGGATATTGGGGCCTGACGGACCGTACAAATATTTTTGTTCACAAATAATAATAAGATCTTATGATCATGACGTGATAATAATAATAAAACAAAAACAATGACGATCGTAATATTATTATAATATCGTTGCAACCGCCGATTATTGGATGGATGGTAGGTACAATCTCAGTCCGAGTCACCGCACGAATCGCTCAGCGACAGGCCGGAGTAGCGGCGGCGTCGTTGCCGGCGGCAGTCGGCGGGCAACACCGACGATGACGTGGACGGCCGCCGGTGGCCGGGCATCGAGGAGTTGGCCGCGTTTGCGGCCGCCGCGGTGGCCGACGAGGAACACGTGTACGAGTAGTATTTGCCGCGGCGGTTGGCGGGCGCTGCGGCCGAGGCGGAAGCGGTCTCGGGCGTGGACGCGGCCGGCCGGCCGGGCGAAGGCGGGTGGTCGCTGGAGTCGGTGCTCAGCGATGTGGTGGACAGGTCGTCCAGGAAGTCAAAGTTGGAGATGGCCTCTCGCTCCTTGTCGCCGAACCGGACGAAGAAGTCGCTGCGGCCCACGATCGACTGTCGGAGTCCCGCTGTCGGGCACCGGAGCACGCCGAAACCGTCGCGGATGGCGGACGCTGAAAAGTAATGACCAATATTATTATTATTTGTTATAAGTACTGTTATGGGTATTGTTATAACTTATATTTGTTATATAGGTGTTTGAATCGTAATATTATGTTGTCGATTTGTAAACGTATATTAGGCTAGAGCCGAATTGATCAAATATTATATAGCAGCGGATGGAGTGTATATACCCGACTGTTACAACTGAATAGTGACCTAAACTGAGGTTACATTATGGACTATGGTATATAAGAAAATATAAATACAAATATCTGAATTACGCGGAAAGTCTAAATGGTTTTTTGAAAATCTAGTACTAGCGATTATTGTATAGATATAACGTAACTAACCACACAAATATCGACTAAACATTTCATATAGTTCTTGACTTTCGGTTAAACCACAAGTACCTACATCGACGTATAGAAGTTACGTGACTTTCGACGATACAGATGATAAAGTTCTACTTATATCAACCGATTTTTGGTTATTTCTGTCACACAACAAAAGTTAAACGGGGTGAAAAAATTTTCTAAAAGTTATTGGTTATAAAAAACACTATCAATTTATGATTTAGTTTATTTTACTGAAATTATTGATGTAGGTCCTACGGATAGGCATACTTTGTGCATATTTTATTACTATACGACAAAAGTCTCAAACATTAAAAACCGACAACTGTCTATTACATTAATAAATAAGAAGCACTTGAAGTTTAATGCCAGAGTATTATATTGTATTATAGTGTTCTACGCTGCAGCGCTTGAGTGGCAGGATACGTTTGTTTCGCTATTCCGCTAGCATAAACTTTAAAAGCCAACATAAAATATAAACGGTTCGTCATTCGATATCTATGTAGGCCTATACATCGGCTAGGTATATAATGCGTACTATTTTATATTGTATATAGATAAAAAGCTGCAGAAAAATGTTCCGCCGGCTGTTATTTAGAATTGCAATACAATATACATATTTTATATGACTCCAAACGGAACCATTAAAGTTAACAAAATATGACAAACGTTTTTCAAAAAAATGTATTATTCAACACAAATAAATAACAATTGAGTTCAAAAAAATACATCGCTTTTAACTAAAAAATGTATTAAGTGAGTTAGGTCGGTAACTCCGTAATTATTGATGGTATCCATTGTACATACCAACCAAGTATTTTAACAAAAGTTGTCCACACCTAAGTTGCTATATCATTGGAAAACTCAATTAAATTGCTTATACGTGGTGTACACGCAAGTAAATATTAAAATGGTTTTCACACATGGGATTAATTTTTTATGTTGCAATATTATAAAATATTGGAACACCCGCAACATATTGTGATTAATTGTTTCGATTCTTATTTCTTTTTAAAGAATGTTTCTCTGAATGCGTGTTTGAAATTCGTGGATGAAATTAAACTTCTTAACGGTATGAAAAAAAAAAACAAAAAAACTAAAGGGGATCACAGTCGGCATCATGATTGAATGTTATGTTTGCATTGGAAAAATAAAAAATAATATCATTTTTAATTGCAATTAATGTATTAATTATATTTTATAAAGATAATAAGGCAGTAAGATTATTATTTGTTACATAGTGCCGTGGCAGCCGACCGTAATGGGCGACAGTATTTTTTTTTCGTATTTTCTGTAAAGAAATTTAATTTCAAAAACAAAAATACTTCATGAAATTGCAAACTCTATAACATACGATTTATTATTAGTTACTACGACGACGTAAAGATTCGAGCATCGGACGTTTAGAATAATACCCATAATTGATTTTTGTGTTTTTCATATTAAACGATATCATTACATAAATTTACCTTTTTTCTGTCTGCGCACCCGATGCAACTTGTGCAGACGGTTATACGATTCCTCGTTTGCAGCATCGACTCCGGCCTCGGTAGTCCGCCGTCTGCCGACCAGGTGAGCGACGTCGTCGTCGGTTGGGTCACGTTCGTCGTCGCTACTGTCGTCGGACGTGTCGTTGCAGCCGCGTTCGGCTCTGCCACTGCAGCTCTCGCCACTGCAACTTCCGCCACTGACGCCACTGCTGCAGCTGCTGTCGTCGTCGTCCTCGCCTGTCGACGCGCTGCTCGTGCTGCTCGATGAACTCCGGCTAGACGCCAGCATGACGTCCAACAGGTTGGCTCGTTCCTGCGAATGGGTAATTGTGTTAGGACGAGTTAGAGTAACATATTTAGCGCTAGTTGAAATATTATGTAGGTTAAAATCGAGAAAATAATTATTATAATTTTTATTTAATCGATATCAATATCGAGATCAAACACCTAACTGAAATTTATTTATGTAATGGCCAACTAACTTATTTTTCGGAGTGTTTGCAAACCTGTGGAAACAAATTAAACGGCAACACATAATCGAGCTTACAAAAATCGATTATTATCTAGCCCAGTTTTGAATTTATCATTTATTCCTATATTATAAGGGACAGTCCTAAAACTGAAACTGCAGAAGTTCAAAAAGTGATCGGAAATGGTTCTGTTGATAAAGTATTAAAATTACACGAGTTTTGGCGACCTAGACGAGTTACTGTTTACTACTACAAGAAAATCGTGGCTATTGTAATTGTCTTATTGTATGCAAAATAATCCTATATTTTAAAGATCATTAAAATTATCATGATTCTGGAGTTCGTCGTCAGTCGTTAAATACTCACGTACACCATGCAAATATATCGTAATTTTAATCAATGTTTGAAGCTTGCACTACTGTCGTACGACGGTATCGTGCGCCGTCGTTAGAACAATAATAATATTATTAATTATAGGTACATTGTTGTAATGCACCTAAATATTATTATCCACTGCCCGGAGCGGATGAACGTTTTTTAATGTTCTAGTGCAGATGATAAAAGTACGCATTAAGACTAATTGAGTGTTACAGTACCAGGAACGTAATTATTAGGAAACCATATATATATGTATTTATAGGTAATCAGATTATGGAGTCTGTGGAGGTCTTATCATCGCACGGTTTGTAACATTCAAATAATACAGGAGATTGTCGGAAACCGATTTCCGTACGGTACATTTGATTACGCAGGGTTTTAATGAGATTATGATTTCTAAAAAAATACCATAATTCAATGAAGATTATTTTCTAAACAAATAATGCCTAATTTATATTATAATAATATACAGATTACGTCGTATTCGGATTCTCGTCACCTCAACGATTGTCTCAAACTATTCGGTTGTATTATTTATATTATGTGCGTTGTCACAGAGTCAATCACTTACTGTTTTCATCAAAAACATTGATATATAATATATTTGAATATATAGCATATAATATTTGCAGAACGCCGATATTGAAGAATATAAATCGATGAATTGTCAATAGTAAATTTGAACTTAAGAATGTATATTATATAAGTGCTACAGTGATGGATACGAGGGAGGGAGGGACGTTGATTACTTCCCCCCTATGGACTGAGTACCAATTAAGTATCGTTTTAATGTTGTAGTTTTAAAATAATTTTTTTTTAAATAAAGAAGCTTAGTATAGGCAATATATGTGAACGTTCCGTATGACTGATTGGGTGTATAGTAAGTTAATATTATAAAAGTATTATAGCAAATACTTTTTTTTTTTTTTTTCCATGGTATCGAGGACCGGAGAAGGAACTATGTTGCCAATACTTCTCCTGTTTATACTTTATAGCAAATACTGTGACTGTTGTTTATAACTAATATCCGAGTGGTCCTGCAATAAAACAATCGATAAGCATTTGTTGTGGTCTAAGAATATATTATTATTTTGTCTAAAAGTATGTTTGTTGTGCCAATTGTAATAATTAACCTAGTTATTGGATAAAATATCCGAAACCAAATTTGATTTCGCCAAATCTGATGAATTGTGAGAACCTGAATTTCTAGTGGCCAAAAATAATTTATATGAAAATGCGATAAAGGCTCATTAGGGGTATACGTTACGGTTTTAGACTCACAAGCTCCACTGCCGATGCTAATATGCTATATATTATTATGTTTATAAGTTAAAATATTAATTTTGAGTAAAACTGACCTTTGGATCAGCGAAGTCGATATCTCGTTCGACGTGCACCCATCCGGTAGGACAACAGCACGCCTCGTCCAGGTCAGGTGACGACGACGGAGAGTGACGTTCGACGACGTCATCCTCTGGAGACGTTCCGAAGAGGGGATGGCCTCCGCCGCAACCGTCCATCCAGTTCAATTGGTCGATCAGATCCTTGGACGACGCGTCCGCCCACGCGGTGACCATGCACACCGTGGTATCTGCCGTACAACCACTGCTCGAACCACCGGCGCCGACGGATGACGACGGTGGCTGCGGGGACGTTGATTTGGCTGATGCCTCTTCATCTTCCTCCACCACGGTCCTAAGCAGCGTGGACAGGGGTGTAGACGTGGCCGTCGGCGATTGTTCAGCTACGTAACTGCAGTCTTCAGGCAGACACTCAATTTCTACGTCACTGCCACACAGCCCGCTGTCCTTGGAATTGAGCAGGTTGTCGCTGCAGCTGTTACTGTCATACGTCTGATGCCCCACGAGCAGTACAACTGGTGGTGTCGGATTGGATATCGGTAGCGCAGGTAACGGTGGTGGTGTTTGAGGCCCAGGATCAGCTACAGGTTGGTCGGAGTGATGGGACTCTTCGGCTGGGACCACAGGTGACGGCACTCTCGGTGGTTCTCGTTTATCTTCAGCCTGCCGGGACAAGCAATACTGCTGCTGTTCTGCGATGAAGTCCAGCACGCTCTGTAGGGCCTGGTCACGGTCCAATTGGGCCTCAACTACCGGCGGCGTCCGATGATCGCATCCTCCACCCGTCACACTCCGCGACGAGGTGGACGCCAGGCTTTTGGAGCTTTCGAACTTGACCAGTCGGTAAAAGTCACGAGTGAAGTCAGTGCCAGCGATCGGCCCAGGTGGTGGAAGCAGTTCTATGCTGTCCACGGAGCAGCTGACCGATGACCTCTTGGACGGTGGAGTGTCGGCAGCCGCGTACTCGTCCGCACTCGACCACGAGTCACCACCCGGCGAACCTGAACCATACGACGGCTGCTGGGGCTGGTGTTGGTGAAGGTGGTGATGGTGGTGGTTGTGCTGCTGCTGCTGACAGTCATGCTGATGGTGATTGTGTACCTGGATTTGGCCCTGCTGTACGTAGGGGTGTTGTTGGTGGTGTTGTTGTGGTTGTTGGTGGTGATGGTGCTGTTGCTGGAAGTGGTACCACGACATGTCTCTGGTCGATCCCATGTCTTGCAGGCGGTCACCTTTACGACCACAGGATGTCGACGACGAGCCAGTCGCGTCATCTTCCTCGATGCACGGCAACGATTGTTGCAGTTTTCCGTCCACCGCCGACATCCTTTTCCATCCAGTCGCCGTCCCGGTGCCGTCGTCCATACTCCAGTCTTCCAGCTCGGCCGCGTCGTACTCCATCCGTTGTTGGATAGCGGTGCGCGTCTCGTCCAACCGGAGCCAGTGCTGCACATAGTCCATGTCCCACAGCTCACCACCGCTGTACCACGACGTCCGGTCCTCGTCCTCGACGAAACCACCTGTGGCAGCGGCCAGCTTAAGGAAAAGGTGCGAGTCTGAGTAGCTGCGCATGATGTTGTGCACCGCTGGCATACATCGCAGTGGTGGGTAACTGTGACGTGGGTTGATGAAGCTGAACGAAAGGCTGAGCGGCAAGAATATCACGTCCGTGTCCTCGCTGTTCATCGCCCTAATAAAATATTAAAACGCTCACATATTATTACATTTTTCTAAAACATTTAAGGTCATATATTTCTATTGAATAATAGCAATAAAAGATTATATTGTGTATGAACCCATATTCCATATAGGTAATATCTCTGGACGTAAGAACCCTAATACTCCAGAGCATATGCCAAAAAGCTATTCCAAACCCGTGAAAAAGTCAACAACCTGATAACCAGTGATATGATTATGAAAAATTAACATTAATTCTGAATCGACTAATCAATTCTCTTTATTTATAAATTAACTAAAATTCAACATAGACAATCTTACATCACACAACTCACAACAGCATAATTAACAAAGTCCCCGAAAAAAAGGAGACCCCTAACTATAGTCCTGCACATTATAACCAAGAAGATATTGTTTCACATTAATAATACTAGATTTGTTGTGTGTATATTATTCTTTTAATAATTATGCAACGTGCCTGATTATTATTATTTCGTTGCATAACGAGTAGAATATGATCCAATTTGCTATCGTAAACAGCACACGGACGCAGACACTCAGTATTAAAGTATAGATACTATAACGAATCACTCAGTAAAATTGCGTAAAAAAAAAAAATGAGTTCGTGTCTCTTATTTATTTATTTTTTTTTTTTGTCCATTATAGTCGATTTATTCGAAACGGTCCATTAATACGCAGTTAGTTTAATGTAATTGCCAGAGGTTGGGATACATTTTATGCGGCCCGCGACATTTATTCAACCCTAACTGGCACTTTGCATGTAGTTAAAAACTATATAACGGCTCAATATAGTGTCCACTGCAAAGTTAACCGTTGTCGTATTGCCGTTAAACAAAAAATAAAAACTATTATCGATCCACTCGAGAAATAGCATATTATATCCAGGCGAATAATAATAATAATTGCAGCGAATGCTGATCAGCAGGTACTCGAGTACCTATACCAGATAGCACTTATTCAATAATTATAATTTATAATGCATAAAACAAATTTATGTTGCCTCACATCGAACATTTCCGAGCCTTATCAATAGTATATAAGATTATATGAATGATAGATGAATTACTTAAATCCGTTTTTGAGAATATTTCGTCCATTTTCTTGTGCATCTACCGGTATAACAGTGTTTAATTCGCCATACACAAAAACTGCAGATTATCTGAACAGTTCGACCCACGAGACTATTATTTTAATATTAAGCCAAGTATCGTTAACTTAAACCTCAATGTAGTTCAAAAACTTCAATAACTCGAATTTTTTTCTCGGCCCTAGAAATGTATGAAGTAAGTATATTTATTCTTCTATATATTATTGGTTTATACGGATCAATCGCGTTTATAGGAGTAATTCAATTATTCTTAGCCACGAGATATTGTATAGAAGGGGGAAGTGAGTATAGTATTGACGATATTGTCTTCGTTCTTTTTCCTTTTTTTTTTTTTGTCGAGAATTTGATTAATGACAAAAATAATTATTTGAGTTAAATTAATTTAAATGCGTTTTTATCATCATTAATAATACACCTTAAACGGTCCGTAATGACTCGGCAAACAGCTTTCCAGTTTAACGGCGAATAATAATAGTAATAATAATATACTATATTATACATTTATACATATTAATTGGACTCTGTGTTTAATTTCTGAAAAACCGCATTACTAATTACCACTATGCGTATTGTGTGTAATTAACATGCAATAAATAGGCTAGAATTTTGGAGGAGGTATATTTAGATAATTTGGAGCGACGATAGCGAGACCTTATCTGGCAGAAAAATAATAAAAAATAATATTATCACGAAATTTATTTTAATGCTGCATGTAATAATATAAATAATTTACCTAAATGAATAGTGGTCGATAACTAGATATTTAGATTGCTTATGCAGGTAGTTGACCCTGTTATTGAAAGCTTAATTATCCGAAAAGTCAGTGTTATAAAATTAATATTAATTATTATAACTATTATTGTTGTTGTCTTCAAAAACTATTACATTATAATACTAAGTGTTCTCTTTTTGTGGAGTACTTGAATACATTCCTTAATTTAATCTATGAAAAAAGTTAGAGCGAACTTCCCTGGGATTGATTAGGTATAATTAATACCTTGAGTTAATCATCCGTATAAAACGACTTGTGTACAAAAATAAATCCTGAGTGCGAGCACTGCATATAGGTATTTAGGATATTTTATTATTTGACATAACATTAATAACAGATGGTTTAAAAAAAAAACATTAAAATAATGCGTACCTGGAACACGGCGATGATTCCATGAGCGCGTTCGATTCGTTCTCGTTGGCTTCCTTCACGTCCTCTAAACCTTTGGTGGACGGCGGTTCGGTTGTGCCTTGCACGTCGCTTGACATGGTCGAATACCCTTCGTCTCGGTTACCACTTTCAGGCGTCTCGTCACCGAGCACTCTGTCGCATTTCGTCGACTCTTCAACTGTACAAAAATGAACAATGCACACGATAAATTTTTTGTTTTTTTAAATTTCCCCTAACTGTCACTCTAAAGTGAGAAGATAGTAGTCGAGAAAACTATAATAAAAATGGCTGTCAACAGTTTGCCCACATTTTAAATTATTTTACTCGAAATTTTATTGGTCATTTGTGCACACAATTTAATTTCTAATTTAATTTTTTTGGTCGTTTTTAGTTGTTCATAAGACGTCATGTCTGATTGGTGTAACAGTTCTTTTATTAGAAAGAAATTGAAATGTAGTGGTAAAACACCAAACAGATAGCGCCACGGGTATATTTATATTTTATACCGCTCAGTTTTCCAGGAGATGGGTCCACCATGATAATAATATACAATATAGCCTCTATATAGATAATAGTGAAAATTAAACTTCAAAATCTATTTAGTCGAGTTGATCAAGAACAAACAAAATAATAAGCACAATTTTTTTATATTTTAGTAATGATTAATTTATATTATATTATTAATTTTAATACAATTATTTTAATAATATTATGTATGTTCGCAAGCGGTTGGTTACATTTTCCCCAAAACATATTATGCACAAACTGCTTATCAGAAGAACAGATGCAATTTTTAAAAAGCTGCTCGAAAGGTTGTCACCACACTATATACACCATTATAACGTTATCTTACCGTTATGCGAGCAACAAATCTCTAGATTCAACGATTGCGGTCGGTGGTACGACACGGCCGCCTGCCATCCGTCATTTTTTAATCTCTTCAGTCCCTTGGTGAGATCGCAACTCGCCGGTCTCTCAATAGCCATTTTCTGGGGGGCGAAATAAAAAAAATATTGATAATTATTATTATTAAATAAACAGTACCACGACGACGACAACAACAAAAATAATGCGTAATCATTTAAAAAAGATTAATCACACACTACATCAACGATTATAATACAACTGTTATAATATCGTGTGACTCACCACGGACGGCGACCGGTGAATGTCGAACATGACCGATCGGCTCTCGGCCACCGGCATCGTGTTCGGTGAATAGTTAATCTTCTGGCCCTGGAGCCGTTGCACCAGAAGTGCGGAGAGTGCGCAGTTGCCGGTCTCGAGCTCTTTGACGCGGTGCTGGAGTGAGGATATCTCTTCCCGCAGACCCTGAGAGCGAAAGAGAAAAGTTAATATTTTCTTTTTTACACCATGATAGTGATAATGACGGCAAATGACAAAGTGCTGCTATACTGCAGGTTGATTGTATTTTATCATATTATTGTGTTGTAAACCGGAGCACAATACCTCGAGAAATAAAAGGAATTACTTACGTTTTTAAATTAAAAAAAATACTGAAAATTTACTACAGAAAAGTTTAAAATATTTTTTCAAAACTAAAAAAAAAAATGATAATTTTTTATGCTTCCGGATATTATATTGCCAACTGATTCGTGATGAAACATTCATCCGGCATATATATTATTAATTATTATGTCCGGACGTTTTTGCAAACCATATTCGATGACAATATTAGTATATTACTCTCAGTAGACATACTACAGTGTTCTACGTAGGCGTGTAATGTGTGTATACAATACAAATAAAGCAACAAATTAGAAAAGTTTGCTTTTCATGTCCACAAAATATTTTTTAAACAAACATTGCAATTATGACCAGAAAAAGTGGATAAAAACTGTTGTGTTGGATGAAAAATTTAGTTGGAGACAAAATATTCAGCCTTTTTAAGTTTTGACTGGAACTATAAAATCCTTATGGGTAGAACAACGTATAGGGTATTTTTATGTGCGTGTGGATTTATTAAGTTTGGTATGACTTTAGGAGAGTTTGTTTAGGGCGTCGACATTGTAAGCACGAACACTAGTTAAGTGCACATATTGATGTGGTTTTTTAAATAGCTGCGCTGAGAAAAATTTAAAAAAAACAATTCTAAAAATAATATTATCGTCTTGTTATATTGACTATCCGGGCGACGATGCGTACCTTTTGTGACAGGACCGCTTTGACCACCTGTTTGGCCACGTCGTCTAGACACCTCTCGTACTGTTTGCGCTGTTGTTCACCCTCGCGTTCGATACGATTTTTCTCGTGTTCTAATATCCGGAGCCGTTCGACTAGCGCTTTTTGCACTTGGCTGATGCCCTGTGGAAGACAAATAAAACATAAGATCAAACGTGTCTCGTGGGTTGTATTGGCTGTCACGTACACGCAAGTTCGACCTCCCCTAAAAAGCTCGTTTCTTATTTATTTACATTGTGTGTGTGTGTGTGTGTGTGTGTGTGTGTTAAGTGTTCACAAATCAAAAAGGTGCATTTACAATTCATTTAGCTAACAAATTTTAGGGGGTGAATTCGTCTTGCATATATGACCCTCTACACCCTTATATTATACTAGTATAACACTCGTTACCGTTGCTTCGAGAGTGTCAATCTGCTTCTTCAATGTTTCGTTTTCAATCTTGAGTTTGGTGATTGCGTTTTGAAGTTGTAGGATTTGATTCTGAAACGGAAAATTTGGATTAATTCATGACGTTTTACACGATTTAACTTTACGTTTTATTGTGATTAGGGACGCTTTAGGACCGGGTCACATTATCCGTTTGTATTTAAGGTTTTTTATTTTAAGGTTTTTTTTTTATGCATTTTCACCAAACAATGGTTTAGCAAACTTTTGAAAGCGTCTAATTTTTTCTCCGAATTTCAAACCACATCGCATTATTCTTATTAATATTTAGGTCATATTTCACCTTACCCTGAACAATTTTGTGCTACACGTATATTTGTTATTTTTCTTATATAGTTATTTTAGAATATTGGTTTCAAACCGGAAGACATCGTCAAAGTAAATAGTAATGGTTTAAAAATATGTTTGAGTATAAGATTTCGGTATCAAAAGTGCCTCCATACATAATATAATATATCCTTGAAGACTTGCAGGGCTCTGCAGCACATTTCCTCAGATAACATCATTCAAGATAACGCGCTGCAGTATATACATGACAAGGTCCGCGGGGATCTAGCAGACATACATATTATAATATATTAATTCAGCTACGGTGGACTACGTGGACTACGACGTCAGCGATTTGTTTTCTGTTTCGCTCTCCAGAAAACTGCACGTCCGAGAGTGTGTGATGCGGGTACGTACACACCTATATTTCCACGCTTGTCTAGCTGACTGCAGAGGTGTACATTATTATCATATTATATACAAGCAGCCTACCTTTACGGGGCGGAAACAACCGCGAAAGATTTATAGACTCGAGTCTGCGAGGCACGTCTGTCGGCCGATCCGCAGAGAGTATAGTGTAAGTACTCAAGTATACATAGGTGTGTGAGTGTGTATGTGTGTGTGAGTGAGAGAGAGAGAGA